TCTATAAAATGCATTAACACGTTCGCAATCAGATTCTGTGTATATACTTATCTATCTGCTACGATACTATTTCTGAATCTTTATTTTCCGTCTCGTGTCTAAGAAAATAGACTGGGTCATACAACTCTCTAATTTCCATTCGCACGTTTAATATAGCTACGGTTTCCTATAAGATTACACGAAAACCGTTGCTCCTCGATCTGAAACAGCAAGTGGTTAAAAGACACATACAAAGGTAACATTCTGCATTTCTACTTGAACGAAAAAAAGGTTTTGACATTCAGCTGTAGATTCTTGCAAAGTGCATGCTGCAACCAAGCTTCTTGGGCCAGAATCGCCAGGAAGACCCCGCGGAATAAATAAATTTGAGAGCACGGAGTATAGATTGTCCGTGCGACGCTGCGGCCTCGAAATAGTCGCCGTCAGGAGCGTTTTGCAATTGATTTCGTTGAAAGCGCACCCTTATACGACGAAGTGCCATTGCGAAATCTTCCGTTGACTTCTTCTTTTTGTAACGGACTGCTCGATCGGGAATCGTATCATGATTGCCAGGCCGCCGTGTGTAATCGCGGGACAGATTAGGCGGTTCCGTTGTAAATGGACGTAATTGCCGGCGATAAAAACCGCGGGCATGCGTCACCGTTCAGCGGAACCGAGCTCCTGTCGCAACGGCGAACCGCGCGTCGTGTCGGGGCTGCGTTTCACGGCGATGTTCGATGACTTTTGATATTTAATCCGCGAAGACAAGCACACACGCACACCGTGGCGCTTTCCCTCGCAAGGAATCGAACAACTCCGAGCCGGCCGTTGCGTAATCTCGGCTAACGCCGGGACGCCATCGCGCCGCTCGATGGAGCTGGATCCTCGGGCCCGAGCGAATCGTTTCGAAAATCGAAATGGTCGTTGATTTTTGGACATTCGGACGGAAGATTCCCGCGACACGTCGTTCGAATTAGTGAGAACACGTTAAAATTGATCGAAGCGATTAACCGAAATTAATTAGAACTAGGAAGAACATGTTACCGTTGATTCGACTCGTGTAAGCTACGTTCCAGCGATTTCACGTGATCAATCTCCTCGAAAGTGCTCGAGAAAGGTGCGAACCTGCCCGTATTAAAATTGATCAAAGCGACTGGGCTGCTTGAAACTGATTAAAACTAGTAGGAACACGTCAAAGTTGATTCGTTTCGAGTACGTAAGCTGCGTTCCTGCGACTCGAGATGATCAATCTCCTCGAAAGTGCTCGAGAAACCTTCGAAACCCGTCGACCGAGGATTCCACTTGGAATTGCGATTCGCATGTTTCGAAGTATGTTTACGATACTTCGGAGTATCGTTGCCCCGTTGAAATTCAAACTCGAATTGGCGAGATTCGAAGGAATCAACGTACAGCACGTTGGACGCTGGCAAGTCGGTTGGAGGCGAACGGTTCCCTCGAGCCGCCGCGGCTGAAAACGAAAGTCATCGCGCGACTCGAGAAGCTCCGCGGCCTTGACGAGAGGAGACGGTCTCCTCAAGTTCGCCGTTCGTCGCGGGGTTCGCCGGTGACACGACGGTTTCCGCGGAAAAACCGCGATTAACCATTTCTTCGGGGATTAGCGGATCCACGCTGGAAGCGGCGACGTCGATTAAGAATTCAGGAGGAAATTACTCACTCGTGGTATCTTCGATCTGACGGCGAAAGGATTAGCCCGACGCGTCCAAGTTCCGAGAGCTGTTCACACTGTCGGATTATTGTATAAATAATGTCGCTCGTCGACGCTAACTTTCAGCGCGGCCGCGTCTTAACGCTCGCGTAGCTTCTTCATTATTAGATTGCAGGTGCTCGCGTACTTGCTGCTAACGGAAGCCCGCGGGAACGAAGAAAATGGAGATTTTCATAGCACTCCGTTCCCCTTCGCGATACTTCGATCGACGTCCATTAAAATAACAGTCGGATAATTAATCGATCGCGAATATCCCCGCGAATTCCCGTTCTAATGCGAGTCGCGGGACTGAAATTCGTTTCCCGCATCAACGGAACATCGGAGCTTCGCGAAAGCTTCGACGTTGATCTCTCAGGAGGGTCTTTGTGATCTTTAAAATCCCGCAATCTAATCGTGGAGCGCGTTAATAACATGCTCGCGATGAGAGCGAGCGTCGAAGAACGGAATTACCCGCGGAGCGAGCCGCCGGAATCGCGTGTCTTCCGGCGGGCTGTTGCACGCGAGGGAATTCCGCGAGGATTTTCGCGGATCGCGAAGGTCAGGGGTCGCCGCGGCGGCGGAAACGCGGCGGCAGCCGGTGTCCCCGCTGAAAGGAAGCTGCGTGGTCGCGTGACCTTCGGCGAGCGCGTTCCGCGCGTCACCCTTGAACGTGAACCGCGGGTCAGCAAAAGTACAGTTGCACGCTTAACCGACACATGCACTTATCTTCTATGGTACTTGAGCGCTGAAAGGCGGGAGAGCTTGCTGTAAGTGCATGCAAACCGAGCTGGAAATAACTCCGGTTGGTCCGTGGTCTACGCTCGCGCCGCAAGGACGGGGCCATCGATTCGCGACGCGATCCCCGGGACTAATTAAAGCGTCCGCGCGTCCTCGCTCGGCCGCGAATCGATCGCCCGCCCCGCGTCGCGTCGCCGCGGAATTTTCATTTGTCAGAGGGATCCCCGTTCCCTCCTCGGCGGCGTCGCGCGTGCGGCGGCTTCCTCGTCGCGAGGGAAACGGGGATTCGGAGCGGATTCGATGGCGCCGCGCGACCGGAAGTCCTTATAACCTCGCCACGACGTACCGCGGGTCGGAAGCGTAAAATCGTGGACGGAAGTTGAGTTGCTTTTTTGGTGTTTGATTTTGTTTTTCAATTTTAATGGGATAATAGTATTCTTTTTGGTTTTCTGGAACAGATTATGTCTTGCTACCGCGATGAGTACCATGAGAATTTTGTGTAATTTTGGTTATTCGTTTGTAAGAAAGGTAGTATTTCGCTATTTATGTAACTAAGTATCTTGATGTGATAATTTTCTTCTTGTAACCGTTTTCAAGCAATTTAGAAGGATTAATTTTCAAACGTTCTCATCCAGGTTTTTACGATTCTGATCCACTGTACGCCGAGTCTACGGACGCGAGACAGTTCCTTTTGGACAACGACGTCACGGCTGGTGAAAAAAAGGGAAAAAAATGCATAGAACGTCTCTCGATTGCACCCCTTCTCGCGAGCTAGCCTGGGTTCTACCCTCCACCCCTTGCTCACCGAAATGTCTTCTTTGACCCTTTGACAGGAGACTTAAGGGGGAACGTCTAGCTAGGGAGCTAATTAGATAGAAATCTAACGATACATTCCCGCTGAAGCAACAATTTTGAATCCATTAGAGAATCTCTTTTGTTAACGAGTTAGGTCTTTAGTTTGCAGATAGAACAACGATAATTTTGTAACTGAAAGTTCATACTTTGAGCTTGACAATTTTGATAGAGAAAACTTGGACGAATTAATATCTTGAAAATGGTCTTAGGTACTCTCTTCAGTCTTTCCAAATCGGAAAAGTACAATAATTTTATTAGATTTCCCGTTTGAGATAGAAACAGAGCACTAAACACAGTTGATTAGTTTCCTATGAAAAAGACTGCTAAAGGTACATGAAATTTTAGCTCTCCTAGCTGGATTCACCCTGTTAACCCTTTGAGGACGAATGTCGTTTTGACGACATCAAGCTTTGATATTTAGAATGCGAAGTTTTAAACAAACAATTGATTCGTCTAAATAACAAGAGATCAGTGATTAGCTTTCTCTGTCTCCGACACTTAGAAATTTGTTGTAAAATTTAACTTCCTCTGCGAAAGGTTTTTAATAGATTTTCAAAAAATCCCCGTCCGCAAAGGGTTGACACGCGAGCAGAATTAGGGATGAACATCTCCCTCAGTTCGGGACTGGGAATTTTAAAGTTACATCCGCGCGTTCGCCGTTCGACGAGTAATAACGATACAGCCGGTTCGTTCTCCGGTAAGTTTTTCATATTTTCCGCGGGGCATTGGCGAGCAAATACTGGCACAAGGAAGCAAATAATTGATCGCCGGCGATTTCCGTGCCGATACACATGTTTGCCGAACATTCGGGTCGGGCAGCCGGAAAATTTGTATTTGGTCGGCGCGCGCGGAATGCTGTTTCCTCTTATGAAACTTCAATCGCGCGCGATCCCGTTCAAACATCATATTCAATCAAAATCGTTCCACGCGATTCCGTGCAGTTTTATAAACGGCGGAGAGGCATTATTATCTGAAATTTATAATCCGATTAATTCAAGAGATCATTCACGCCTACGGGTAACCGGTTTCTGCTTCACGCCGACGCGGGATATTGGGTGTTAACGATTAACGAGTAATTAACGCGTGCGTTCCGGCTGATAATTCGTTGAACGACGAATGCGCGGATGCGAATTAACCCTTGGACCACCAACGACGCATGTTTCTCCCATGAAAGTACAATCACCTGTCCGATAATCTACATCTATCTAGATTCTACAGAATATATTTCCACCAGTTTTATCAGACTAAAAAATTGTCTCATACGTCTCTCTAATATATAGATCTAAAACACCTACTATCACTCAAGATTTATAGCATTCTCCTTAATCCTCGTCGAAACCAAGTTCAAACGCTTCCACCGTAAAACAATGCGCGTTCCACGAAGAATTGGCGGTTCAAGGGTGAATAACCAAGCGTAAAGGGTTGCGGTCGACGCCATCTCGGGTCTCCTAAAACGGAGACGATCGCGCACCGTTCTCGAATGCATCGCCATGCACGCGAACCTTCTACCGGTTCCCGGAACTAAAACCGAGCAAACAGAATGCGCAAAACGTGTAACGAGAGAGAGAAAGAGAGAGAGAGAGAAAGAGAAAAATCGTTAGAATCGGGCTTGGTCGGGTCAGGGAGAAGTTGGAGCGAGTTGCAGCAAGTTGCACAGGTCGGTTTCGTCGGGGTCGAAGGGTTGAAGGGTGGATGCATGCTATTAGTAATAGTGAAGACGTACCCTGTACCAAGTGGCCACCTGCGAGGCGCTCGAAAGGGGTGGAGAAGCGGCGGTGCGTGTCCGCGGCGCGCAACACGCGCACAACACCCCCGGGAGGCGGAGGGCGAAGGTTGTCGGGCCCCGAGGCCGCGGTTTTCGCAAACAGTATCGTTTTTTTCGTACATTTTCGTCGGTCGGATTACGCGGCGGGGGGTTGCGCGTTCGAAGAAGGCGGGCCCCAACAAGACGGTAGCACACAGGTGAAGTGGTTGGTGGTTGGTGGTTGGTGGTTGGTGGTTGGTGGTGGCGGGTGGTGTAGTGTGTTCGCACGCCCCGTGCAAGTGAGGCAAAAGCAGAAACAACAACAACAACAACAACACCACAGGTCAGAAAATATTATACACGATTACATTTTGGTTGGATGAATGATGATGTCTTGGTCGACGGCCGGGTCGGGCTAAGTTGGAGCGAGTGCTACTTGGTTTTAATCTACTACTGTCCTCGTGTGTTCTTACGGTGCACGCGTACGGGGTGTCCGCAATCGCGGCGGAACGGGCCGATCGACGTCACTCCCCTTACTCCGTTCGCTACCGGCCATTTTGTCGGGGACTGTGCCACGATCGCCGAGACACCCTGTATGTCTCGCCGTACACGGGCTGCTCGAGCTGTAGGACACCTGAACCTTTCCATCGTCTTCAACGCGCTGAGAAGTTTAAAGCGCGAGTCGAACGGTGTTACTTGCGTTGGCAACCGAATTAGAAACTCTGTATATTAATCATTTCGTACAGAGAGGTAGATTCCCAAACGATCTAGAATACGCAACCCAATATGACTGTCGACGCGTATTAACGTCGCTGGCGATTTTGGAACAAAAGCAAGTGTCTTTCTATAGTTTCAACGGTGTCTCGGAACTAGATCGTTCTGTTCAAGGTCGCCTCAAGGTCCTTAGACTCGATAAAGAGGAAACCAATAAAGACAACGATCGTTGGCTCATGATTTCCGTTCCGAATCGAATCGCGCTTTAAACGGCTGCTCATTAAAGACAAAGGAGACGTTCAGGTGTCCGTCGGCTGCGTTGCAGCCCGCGTCGGCTCCGTTTCTCCCTAAGCTGAGTAATGCGGTGGTGTGCGTGAACAGTGTCAGTGCGTGTGTAGTCCCGCCGGGGGTACGTAGACTCGGAACTCGTTCGATGACTCGCGGAGGCGCGATCGTCGCCGACGATTTCATTCCCGCCGTTTCGGAGCCGTCTTCCCTTATCCAACGCGCGCAGAAGCGAGGAACGCTGGCTCACCGTCGACGGGGCAATTGTCTCCGTTCCAGTAGGACGGCCGACCACGCGCGCGGCGGCGGCCGATTAAATAGGCCAGCCAATTATCAATGAAGGCGAAACGTCCGCGCGGAATGCAGGTGAACGTATCCGCGGCGGCGCGGCGCGGCGCGGCGACTCGGTTACGCCGCTCGAGTACAGTGGGACGAAAAAGTATTCGCACGCTCGCGGCTTTATCGCGATAACTTTGCGCAAAGAAACGCTGCGCTGCTGCAATCCGCATTCTCGGTGCTTCGTCGTACCTACGGACGCGGGGCCGGTGCACTCTGTTCAACCCTTTGCGGCCGAACGTCGTCGCGACGACGGCTTCGAGGTTTCGTATCCTGAATCGGAAGTCTTAGATAAATTGAGAATTCGAATGAGAGATAGTTTCCTTTGTTTCTGGTATTTAAGATTGCGATATGTAATTTAATATTTGATGGAGTTTCTAGAGGTTCGAGAAGTCCGCAAAGGGTTAACTTTGTTTCTTAAATGTTCGGCGTTCAGGGAGGTTTGGAATTGGTAGATCTTTTGATCGCGATGTATAATACTGAGCTTTGTACATCGATACGTGTATTGAAACGAACTAGCTTCGTTTCCTAATCTTTTCCAGTGAACATTTCAAGACTTTCGAGTGCGAAGGGTTGACGTTTCAAATCGAATATAAGTAGCGATAAATCCAGATTGCATCAGTACCGTTCCACGCGTCGAAGTTATCGCGAGAAACTCGCCAGTGGGAATGATTTCCCTGACTTCGCGCGACGCTCCTCGTTATCGAACTCGTTCCGAGGACAAGATCTACTGCGGGGCCAGTTCTGAAGCGGATGACCGGACGGGAGGTGTCCACGGGAGCGACGGACTCTGACGGAACATCGATATTTCCGGTCGAGTGTAGCAACGTTCGATCACGGTTTCGCCAATTGTTCCTCGATCGGAGCTTTCCACGCCGATCGGTGCAATTTTTTCGTGCGCGCGCGCGTCCCGTTGCGGGACGATGCGGACGCTAGTGTTTAACACGTTAAACGCCACGCCGTAGGGACCGGCGTTAGACTTTTCGTTCAGGCCCGGTCGGTCCGCATGGACTTTAGGTTCATATTACACGACCGCGCGTGTCGGTCCTTACGCACCGATGCGAGACTAAATATTTTAGGCGACATCGGTCTTTGTTCAGTCAAGACTCGAAGAAAAAGAATATAATATTTAAAAAAAGTTAATGTAGCTTATTAAAACAGGGTAAACAGAGGTGTTTTGCTTTTACATTCATTGCAGAAGGTGCTAACTTTTTGCGTTCAATTCTCTGCCATCTTTGAACCTAATGTTCGGGAATTATTATTATAACATTGAGAAAACTCGGGTCCTCGAGCCGACATTTCGGCTCGTCCGTCAGCGGTGACGGCCGCGTCTGGGCCTGAACGGAGCTGCGAGCAAATCGGGCTGGGCACTTAACGTGTTAACGCGCGCGCCGAGAATTGATGTCTCGTTAGAGGGGTTGTTTTTCGGGGTCGCTTCCGTCTGGTTTCGCGTCGGAAGCGGATCCGGTGAAAGACGTCGCGCGACTCGCGGGTCGGGGACAGCTGAGAGAAAAAGGGGCTGAGAAGAAGGGGGTGGCTAGGGGATAGACGTGAGAGGGCGTGACGAGTACGTCTGATACGAAGCAGAAGCCACACACACAACGGTTCCTTTTCTAGTTGCTAGTCTGTATCTAGGGACACTGGCGCGGGTGTACGTGTCTGTTCTTGTCTGTGACGGGTGCGGCTAATATGTGGACTGTTGTACGACCGCGGAATCGACGCGGAGCCACGGAAAACGAACGAGCCGCGCGGAACCTTCGTTCTTCGGTACACTCTTGGATGAAGAGACGCGCAGCGTGTGCGCGTCGCGGGAAGACGAATGAGAAGATTAACCCACCGTCGTTTGCTTATCTGCGATCTTAAGTACGGCGAGGAGGGAAATCAATTTCACGTTATCATTTCGATTTGTATTCGCCGGACGACGCGTTGACTATCAATTCCTGATTTCCTCTTTCAGAATTAGAGGTGCTTCTGTGGTTACAAGCTACCAGATAAATTGATTGAGTAATGAGAGAGTCAGGTTATAAACGATTCGCGTAGATGCTAATTAGAATTTATAGAAGATTAAACGAAGCAATCGACCGCTAGTTTCTATTCACCCGAAGATTCTGTCAAGCGTAGAAAACCTTCAGATGAAGCTAAATTATAGGTTGCTCAGATAATGGAAAAAGGAAGCTACTGAACGTTATTCAAGTGATAAAATCAGTTCGCGACTTGGTTTTTCAAATACAAACATTTCTTCCCTCCGAAACCTGTACGTTCATCGAAGGGTTAAAGATCGCGTCACCCGTGCAACTCGAAGAAAGCGAACATTCGAGGAGCACATCGATAGAAACGAAGCGATATTTCACGGTACGAACGGATTCCTTTCGCAACGTCCCGGGACGATCGAAAAGAAGAACACGTCCGTGACCGAATTCATTTGTCCGGTGCTGCGCGCGCGGCGCGACGATAGCCGGTGCAGGCCGGTCGCTATCTTTTCATCCAGGAGTGTATAAATTTCGCGGGCAGCGGCGCGCCTCGTTACACGGGCCCCCGTGGCACGTATATCTCGACAAAGCGAGCAACACGGGGCCCGCGCACGGTAGCGTTTCTCGCGAGACCGGAGAAGAGATCTCTTAATCCTGCGCGGCGGTTCGTGACTTTCCGCGGGCTCCGGCCTACGACCGCCGAATGAAAAAAGGAGAACGACGGCCCGGAGAGCCGCGAAGCCCGATCTCTGGCCTCGCTTCTTGCGCGCGCGCGCGCGCTCGCTCGCTCGCGCAGCCGGGAGCCGGGCAACTTCTCTGCAATTTTGCGAAATCAGCATACAAAGTGGCGAACGCGCGCTTTTAAAAAGAAGCTCGGACGCGAGTCCTTGGCGAGGCACTCGTGACCGACTATCTGCGAGCGGATCGGGGACCGTGCATCGACCGCTGCGCGTGTAATTCGTGGTTATCGTTCCTGCAGACTATAAGCGTCAGTCTCCGTCGAGCGAGTCCGTCGATGGCTTACGAATCGCTCGCGGTTCGCGTTTACGATTATCGGTCCGCCGAGTTGTACGGAAAGTTCGTGCCGTTCGCCGTGCGCTGTGTACTTAATACCGCAATTCTCCGGGAATTTTTCGTTTTCGATGTCTTAACGCGGCTCGCCGATGATAGTAATCGAGGACTGATACCGTGTAATACAGAAATTAATGGAGGTCGCGATCGTCTGTCGCTTCTGCGCACCGAGGCGACGCGAACTTCGTAACCCTCTCGCTACGGGCGTCCTGTCGAGCGCATTTACTGCGCCGTAAGTATCTTAATGATATTGATACAGACTTTCCCGCATAACAGCCACTTTCAGTGATAATTTTTCATAAAACACGAACTCTGCGAAGAGGGACGCGCTAGTGGCAGCGAGAGGGTTGAACAACTTCAAGCAAAGAATGACCGATTCACCTTTGCACTGGAGAAACTTCGAATGAAGTCACGTATTTACCGAATATATTCGTTGAAACACGTTCTTTGGGTCCTGGTGAACGGAAGTTTCCAGTGCAAAGGGTGAAATTATCGGGGAACGATCGCAGAGGAGTTGCACGAGGTCCGCGACGAGGTTTCCGCGGCTCTCCGCGTCGATCGTCGAGGACTAGGTTCCCGCTGATGGCATCTATCGCGAAGAGGTGAGTTGGAGGTGAGTGGAGGACGATGCGGATGGCGGGCTTACCTTGGGCAAGGATGCCAGGCATTGCTGCTTCACGTCCCAGACGAGCTGATCCTTGGGGAACTGGAGACACTTGCTGACGTACAGCTCCGGGACGTGCACCCTGGCGAGGAGGACTCCCTCCTCGACCGGGCCGGCCTCCGCGACTGCAGCCGCATCTTGATTCTGCTGACCTTGAGCGTGGCCTTGAGCCTGGCCGGCCTGCGGACTCGTTGCCTGGCTCGTAGGGGACTGTCCCGTGCCGGCTGGCGACGAATTCTGCTGCTGCTGCTGCTGCTGCTGCTGCTGTTGCGACTGCGGTTGCTGCGGTTGCTGCTGTTGCTGCTGTGGCTGCTGCTGTTGTTGCTGCGGTTGCTGCTGCTGCTGTTGTTGTTGCTTCGGTCCCGCCTCCATTGCGAGGACCTCGCGCTTCTCGGGGATTCCACCTTCACAGGCTCACATCTGGAACATAGAACGAAACGGGGATCTGGGTTAGCGAACTTCCAGGATAACGAACTTTTAACCCCTTGCACCCTGAAGTTTTTCACTAGAAGTATTTCAACATTTTCTGTTGAGATGAAGACGATGTTTTGTAAAACCAACTCGACGAGAAATTCACGCGAATTGGACAAAGCTATTTTACGTGAATATTTCTCAGATTGATGCATTGTATGAAGTATAATATTAAGTATCAAACTTTATAGCTTCACTTAACGCAAAGGATTAATCCTCCGCCAGACTTCACATAGTGTAATAAGATTCGATGTTAAATTGAATGCGATCGGACGTGAAGTATCGACTAGATAGGTCTATCTCTCGATTCCTCTATTCCAACGTTTCCTCGGAGAAGCAGTAATCTAACGAGAAAACTTACGAGCGCGCAGGATTTTCCCGTGGAAACGGGTTCGAGCGGTTTAAAACGTCCGGGAAGAGTTAAAACGCAGCGGGGCACCGAAGATTTTCGATAAAAGTCGAGCGGCCTAGCGGCGATAACGCCTAAACCAGGAACGGTATCCGGACCGTGCGAGCGCGGCCGATTAAGGGGACAGTTTATTGGCAGCAATTCCGCGCCGGGAGTTTTACCTCGTTTTTTATTCGGCACCGATTAACCGACCCGATTGCGAACGTTACCACGGCCGAGGTTTGTCGCGGGTCATATCTGGTAGGGAATCTCGAGGAACGACGCGCGCGGCGAGGACGCCGGACGCGGGCGGAGAGGGCGGCTTTCGTCGGAGATGAAGAAATTAAAACAGCCTGGCACTCGCAGTTTATAACCCCGCCGCGTAACGGTAAGGGAAGGACGAGATTACCGCAATGGGAATAAAGAAACGGCGCCGAGACGCCGCGTCGATTTTTTAACGCTCGTAAAAGCCTTTTATACTCCGTGGCCTCGCCTCTCCTCTCCTCTACTCGCCTCGCCTCGATATATTTTTCACTCTGCCCCTGCGCCGCGCTGCGGACCCGCCGTTTACGTCTAACGCGGTCCCTTCGAACAATCTAATTAACGTCCGTACACCCGGGCGATCTCCCTTTGAACTAGAGTGTTCTCCGTTTTTTCAATTACGCCTCTGTGCGATAGAAACATTGCAACTCGATACCACTTGTTTCTCTGTGGCAACCCTTTGTGCTCGACTGTCTCCTCTAACACTTTGCCGGGACACTCGAAACTTCTATGCAGTTGAATTAGTTGTCTTAGTAAAGGAATTGGAATTGGAATACTGTATCTCGTGTATCCAAGAAAATTCGATTCGTTCGTTGCGTTACTAGGGAAATTGATGTTTATGTGAAAAATTTCATCCATGATTGACATGGGAGTCGAAGTGATGACTCATCGTATAAGGAGACTAGATGAAGAGTTTAGTACATTGTAACGAATAATCGATTGAAGCTGTATTGCAAGTGTCGAAATAAAACAATCTTCAACGATGTGCCACTGTGTATGAAATGAAACGATACTGTAAAATACGGTACCGTATTGAATTTAATAAACATACGAATGTTTATTCCCTTTTTTGCCGATCGATATTGAAGTTTCGCAGGAGCGCGTACCTTTCTCTACCTGTTGGCAAGTTATTAACGTACAAGGTGCTTTCACGGGCCTGCTCCAGGAATAAATTACGAGGCGAGGAATTAATATGGGGTTACAGAACAGATTTTCTCTTAATTGGATATCAACCATGGTCCACTTTCGTTTATCGAATATCAATTTATATAATCAAAGTCTGGTACAAAATTATAATCGCAGATAGGAAGGGGGACCACGATTTTTCAAGTAATCCGTGGAAGAAACAATTGTTGCAGGACATTCGAGAGCGTGCATTGTCAGAGCAGTAGACGGGGGATCGCAAAAGAAGCAGAGCGCAGACGGATAAAAGGAGGAACAGAGGAATCTCAATCTTCTTTAGACCGCGTCTCGACACTGAGTCAGGGTCGGGTGAAACATAATCTAATTACACGTTACTCATGACGATTAAAATGTAACAGCCGATTCAATTGATTCAGTTACGAGATACTTTCTGCAATCATCGCTTGTTCCTGGCCTGCAATCCTGGGTAATTACGGTGAGTTGCGGCTTACAATTACACAAAGTAATTGGTGATCCAATCAACTGTTGCAATCGCTATTATTAATTTATAACAAGATCAAGTTCCCTCGAACACTGTTCTAAAGTAACACAAAGGAGAAAGCCTGCAGTTAGACCGGCCAGAAGTTGTTACATTGAGAAAAGAAGGGAACATCGGTCTTCTACCCATCGGAGAAATTGAAATCGATAAAAGGCAGAAGAAAAACGGCAGAGACACGCGATGGGGTTCAAAGGTAACTCGATTCGCGTGGTGAATCGATTACGCCGTCGCCGATCGATGATTCTTCGCGCGGTTTTGCGCCCGCGATCCGCGAGAGGAATAGGCTTCTCTTGGCTACACGATAACGCCTATGCGTCTCGTCATTTTCTAATTCGACCTCCAACCTCGAAGAGAGAGGTTAACCGTCGATCAACGATAACTTACGTCCTAATGAGCGGTTTGATGCGACGCGACGCCATGCGACGCTTTCACTCGCGAAGCTTCCAAGGCGGACATGCGTTTATAAAACGTCGAAATAAGAAGTCTATTTCTTGTCTCGTCCGCAATCAATCCTTCGATTAATAAAAAAACTGAACGTTAATATTCGTAATCATTACTCTACTATATTTACTATCTCATATATCCAACAAAACTAGGTTCGTTCGATACGTCAGAAGAAAGTTAACGGTCAAATATATGTAAAACAGTGTCACTCAAATTTGGGTGGCATTCGAAGTGTTAGACCTCTTTTAACCCTTAGCAGTCTTAGGAGTCTCGACATTCTACTTTGCAACCTCTACCTTTTAACAATCTTTTCTACATTCATTTGTAGTATCACAATTGTACCATTTAAAGGTAACATTTCAATGACTAAAATATTCTTGAATAAATAAATATAGCGTCATATCAAGCTGCAATTGAATGAACTAACGTCGAGGTGAACCTCAAACTGAGAAGCCAAGAGCACTTCGGACCGCAAAGGGTTAAGTAATTTGAACAGTCCTTGAACGATATCATTCTTCGTAGGTTCAACTATTACTCAACCTAACTTTTCCAAATGTTTCTACGTAATAGTGCATCCATCGAGATTTCGATGGATCGATAATTTAGCTTGCCTTTCGCTAAACCAATTTCTCCGATAATTCGCCAGAAAAGGGTCCGTTACCTTCCGAATAATTGTGAACCGAGAATTCAGGAATAGGTCAGCGTTAAAGCAGTCCACCGACGATTTCCAAACGATTTCCAAATTGTTCACGTGTCAAGTGGTTCGCGTCGGCGAGCAACCGATGCACGTGTGCGTGATCGATCCCGAGTGTAACGAACAATTCGCCGCAGAACTGCACCGTATCGATCCGCCGATTCCTCCGCGCAATTACGTAACGAGTGTAATAATCGCGGCAACAAACAGACACGTGATTCGCGTGTTTATTGTGCGATTAACGGCGAGGCGGCCAGACGGGTTTTGTCGTACGCGATCAACGTGATCGCCGGTTGTTCAGCGCTTGCCCTGCTGCCGGCTGGAACTCTCCAGCTTAGCGCCGAGCGGTTTCGCTCGCGAGTTACGGGAGAACGGAACGAAAGTGTCGGTAGTCTTGCGAATTCGGCTTATTCGTTTTTATTTCGGTGCCACGTGGGAGGTTGCCGGGCCGTTTCACGATTAACACTGGGTTCGCGGAACGCGTCAAATCGACGCATGTTGGATTTTAGAAATATTATTTTGCAAATGTCTACGCTGATTTAGATTGATGCGATCGCACTGACATGTACCTCAATTACCTACTATCGAATCTCCAATTGCAAAAAATACCATTGACATTTCATCAGAAAATAATGAATATTTATCGAGAAAAATATTCTCGAGTGCAAAGGGTTAATGAATATCGAATCGATCGATCGTCAGCTCTTTTCAGTAGAATAAGTGGTGAAGGTAAGTGATAGTAAGAATGAGTGGCAATATGAGTAATGATGCGAATAGTGTAACGAGAACAGGGAATGGTGAAACTAAGTAAATGATGAGTTCAGTGAATATCAATTAAAAGTAAGGTAATTGGTTAAAGCAAGTAGATAATGAGAACGGCTATTGGCAAAGATAAGAAGATATTAAGAATAATTGTGTGTAGAAATAAGTAATAAACAAGATCAAGTACTCTAATTCTCTCGGTAATTTCAGGAATAACGATTACCATCTCACGATCGTCGTGTTTGATTAATCGTTTCAGTCGGCTGGCCAATGAGCGTCGAACCTACCCGGCCTGCCCCGAGAAACAGGATTTAAAACCGTTCGAACGGAACCCGGTAATCACGGATAAGAACGCGCGGAATCGCGGGGAATGCATTTTAATTCGGCATGAAATCTCCGGAGGAAGCTGCGCGCTGTGAGATTTTCATTGGGAATCGGGAAGGAACGATATCTCGTGCGCGGCACAACTCGATACGCGCGTTCGACGACGAGATACAGAGCGCAACGTGTCCGGGAATGCGGACTCGAGAGAGCGAGCCGAGCGTTTGATGGTCATTTAGCGTGCGACTTGACGATGGAAAAAGCCGAGAGCAAGTATTAGGCTCGTCCCGTTTAATTCGATACTCTACGCAAACGCTGCGCGGGGGAACGGTCGATTGATGAAATTGAAACTAATGAAATCGATGGAAGCGGCTCGGCGCCGAGGTATCGCAGGTGGAACGCGCAATAAACGGTGCCGCGATAAAACCCACTCGTCCGCGGATGGTTTCCGCGTTGACAATATACCGGGGGAACGGCGCGGTGGGAACGCGTCGACGTTTCTCTGTCAAAAGTATCGGTTTTTCGAAGTTAAACGAATCTAATGATCCGGTTAATTAAACACGAAATATCTGCCGGCGATAAAGATAATAAGTTTCTCGAGAAATAATGAATAAACA